TCAATTTACGAACCCATCCTCGCGAGTCATTTTGGAGAAGCTATTTTACCTGACTTATCCCACAGGATTGCGAAGAATGCAGCAAAGGTTCTCCGCTCGGCAAAGGCTTCTATGATAGTGTTATCATTTCTCTCGCCAAAAAGCCGGAGAAGGCAGACATGTAAAAGTTTGTTTTTAGTTGGTTTTTGTGTTGTGGTTTGTTTTTAGATATGGGGAAAGGATTTAATGCGGTTGGGGGTCCATCGGGTATTGTACTTTTTATATTATTTGGTGTATGATTATATTGTATTATTATTTTGTATTTGTAATAAAAGTGGCGTACAAGAATAAGATGTTTGACATATATTTAATACAATATTTTTATATGTATATTTGTACACAAAATATTTGAACACGCACAACAACAGGATAGAGCCGCACAAAATACAACTGCACCAAATAGTTGTCCGATATCATGTGTATGACTGCACAACGGATCTTCTGTCCCGCATCCTGTGTTATTCTCTGTCTTATTTTTTATTATCTTGCTATTTCTCCTACATAAACACCATGTTTTAATTCTTTTTTGTTTCCTTAAGATCCAATAACTATTAACTGAGTAATATACAAAATTTAACAAACTCAAAAAATCAAAATGCATAAAAAAATGAGATTTTTTTATATTCAATTAATAGTTATTGGATCTTAAGGTAATAGGGTATTTGTATAAATAGGGTGTTTGTATAAATTTTTTTACCCTATCCTCAACCTAAAAAATAGGGTGTTTGTATAAATTACCTTTTACCCCTTGTAGCTTGGTGATTTACCACATAACTCTGTATACTTTAAAAAATTATATATAACCCCTCATGATTTAGGTAGAGTGTCACCATTAGTTCTTCTGTTAAAACGAATGGTCAATAGTAAAAGTCAAAATCAAATTAATAAATTGATAAATTCTCCCTTGCACTACTTTTTTTTTTCTTTCTCTCTTGTGATATCAATTTAGAAACATATATAGCTTTGTTATTTATTTATTTTTCATTGAAACCACGAGAAAACCATGAGACATAGAAATTGAAAGAAAAGCATTCAGTTTTTAAAGCTTTAAGTTGAGGATTCCAACGTCGGTGGAGTTGAGATGATACGGACTTGAAAATTTAAGTACCAAAATAATTTTACCATATTAAAAAATTGAAATTCAAGATGATGTTGGAAAGTATGTCTTTTTTTATAACGTGTGCAACATGTTCGAAATGTGGTACATTTTGTTTGGTTAATAAATTTAACTAAAAATAATAACCATTATGTTGACATAAACTAAAAAGAACAACATTTAAAAACTTAACAAGTGGTAACATAAATAAGCATTATATATACACACACATATATATATAAATAAGCATTATACACACACACACACACACTCACATATATATATATAATATATATATATATATATATATATATATTTTTACCCACCGAGCTTCTACAAATACGCAAGGGTACCTCAAATACTAGTAGTCTTGTCTCCGTATCTCAACTATACTAGCCTTATGATCTTATCCCCATATATTTATGTTCATCTTAAATTGATAATTTTATTGAATAATTTCAATGATTATAAAATCTTTATTTCAATTGAAACTTAATTGACAACTAGTTGAAATGCCAAAAAAAAAATATTATTCAATCAACTCAATGACATATAGTTGTTTATATTATAATAGAATATTTAATTAATTATTTTAATTTATCAAATATAAGTATTGGACAATAGATGATGAATAAATTTTTAAGAGGACTTTTATTATGATTTTAAAATATATTATATTTTTTCATCCACGCACAACCGGCTTTCTCAGTGGTGTCCGGACATCCTTCATTGTGCGTCCCCACAGAGCACAGTTGGCCTCCTTGCATTGCTTCTGCCTACTATCGACAGAAAAGTGAACTTTCCACCGCAGACGTAACCACCTTATCCCCATACCTCAGCTTCTGATTTAGGTCCAACAACGTCTAATCAAACATATTATAATCTTTCAAGTATTCCCTATAAATAGAGATACCGAATCGTATGTCTCATTCAACTCGCAACATCAATCAAGAATTTCCTCATTGGTGCAAATCTAGTAAAATTTTCAACTTTAAGCATCAATCTATCAATGGCTGCTAATTCCAACTTTTGCTTCGTTCTATCGTTGATGATGGCATTGTCTTTTTGAAGCATTCATGTAAGCAAGGCACCTCGGCACCTTTTGCAAACTTCCCAACCAGCAATCCCTTCCGTACCTTCAATACCATCATTGCCTTCCATTCCAAATTTGCCTACAGGGGCATTGCCAAACTTGCCAAGCAATCAGCTGCCACCTCTGCCCACCATGCCTGCAGTTCCTAAGGTGACCGTGCCACCATTGCCTTCTGCTTCATTGCCAACCTTTCCAAATATTCCCAGTATCCCTATCTCCATTCCTTCAATCCCTTTCTTCTCACCACCTCCATCAAACTAGTAGTTTGACTTGAGATTTCGATATTCCAGGATGTGGCATCCTTTTCTTCCTCAAATTCATCATTGTGTTGTGATACTAGAATTATGTTTCTTTCATAATGTTCGTGTTTCAAATTTGTCCCTTAAAAATTCTCTGGATTGTAATTTCTGCATTTAGTATTCACTGAAATGTACTTGTATATTTACAGAATTGTTGTTGTATTGGAGATTGCTACTATTTTAGCAAGTTATGATCTTAAATCTGGACTTGTAAGCCCATACAAACACATGCAACTTTTGCAATTTCAATCCTGAGCGTTAAGAAATGGCCGGGCAAATACTTAGAATGTAGAGAGCTTCATTAAATCCTCCAACTTCCTTTTTATTGATTTGTACCCTAATATGATTTTGGAGAAAAAGAACTGTACAAATTTTTGTTTCAAATCACGTAAAGGAATATGAAAAAGGGAAAAGAAGAAAATTACTCCCTAATTATGTTTTGGAGAAATAGGAAACTATGGCCATAGATTCAGATTAAAAATGGAAGACGTGGATAGAAACACTATTTCAAACAGACAAAAAATTGTAGTTTAAATTGGCTGGAGCAATTTAGAATTCAATGTAGGAAACAAATGGATATATGATGGAATGAACTCTAGTATATGTACACATTTTGTTTGATTCCAATTTGACTTTGATCGAAGCAGAATCATCAAATCAAGGAGTAATTTTAAAAAATCAATTTCAGATCTTCATTCTTTTTTGTTCTATTTCCCTTTTGTTCCTTTAGAATTTTCTTCCAATATATTTTGAGATAACAGGGCAACAATAATCCTCCATTAACGGTAAGTACTATAAAATGCTATTTTGCAGTAATTCATCAATTCCTTAGGGCAAAGCTCTGGATTAGTAAATGCAGGATTTAAAAAGAATTCCTCTTAAATTGGGAAATTAAGCTCGAATTCCTTTTAAATTGGGCAATTAAGCTCTTATAGCTTAAGCTTTGTTACATATTTACAAGATCAAAAACAATTTTGACTATCTTTTAGGATATCTCTCACTCACATTTCTAGGTTAGTCTTTCCTTCTTTCTTTTTTTTTTTTTTTCTTGTGTGAGAATGATATTTGTAAACTAGGTCTAAATTGTCATCATCCTAAATGGACTTATAACATAATAAGGAACAAATTGAAAAGGATAAAGGATACTTTTACCCCAATGATGTAGTATTAGTCCGTTTTCAAAATTAATAGTATATATACGGTGAGTGTATAGAAAATTAACTCTTAATTATATCCAGTAGTGAGTAGATCGACAATCAAAGATTTTTTTACATAATGTATGCCTTTTTATCTTTTCTTAATTTTTCTAAAGTTACTGCATTTGTAGCTCCATTATATATCACAATTTTGCCAAATCCTTTTCCGTTTAAAACTCAGAAATCTAAACCTTTTCTTTTCAGAACTAGGAAATCTCGACACGTATGTAACTCCATGCAAAGCACTAGAATGTCATTCGTATCCATCAAACTTCCTACAAAAAATGTCTCTGTTACCAGCCTCCAAGAAGCCTTTCAGCAACTCAACTAGAGTTCGAGAAGAATAAAGAAATTTGTTAGAGAAATCAGCATGGCAGCAGCAGTAGTTTATGGTTTGTTCGATACAATAACTAGAGGAAGAAATTTCCAATTTTGTGATGAATTTTAAAAAATTCTACAAAAAGGGTTATTTTGGTTAGATATTCCGCAGGAGGTGTTTGCATTCGGGAAATGCAAGCTCTGTAAAGCTCGCATTCGCGAAATGCGAGCTTCCCATTCCTTGAACCATTGGACACCTCCCTTTCCTTTATTTTGGACACCTCCCTTATTACTGCAATAAATAGAAAGACCAGACATGTAAGCATCGACAAGACTTAAGTTTAAATTGAAATTTAGTATATTTGGAAACCTTATTTAAGAATAATGGTGTCGTATTTTAGTGACATACTATAGAGAGATAATATGTTGGAAAAGTAAAATTTTGGTTGGACAACAGTGTTTAAGAAATAATATAAAAATTTTCTAAAAAATGGGCAACCCATTCACATAAATTTGTAGGAGTTCAGCTACAGTAATCTACGTACTAATAACTGAGAAAGGAATGAAAAATCGAGAATATTCCAAAAAAATCCAGGTTTGAGTAGTCAATACCTGAAGTTGGAAATTGAAAAAAAAAAAAATGAAGACCATGAGAATTCAAAGAATCCAAGCTTAAGAAATGCCGGAGCATTGACCACTGTACAGGACCAAACATTATTGGCAACCCAAATTAGTGGTAAAAGAACTAATATCATTCACTGATTCACAGAGCTCGCATTTCCTGAATGCGAGCTCACTGAGCTCACATTCCCGAAATGCGAAAACCCCCATTTGTAGAATAACCTCTAAAAATCGCCTCAGTTGTAGAACTCTTTTTTTTTTTCATCATAAACTAAGAATTCACCCCATCTAAAGGCCCTTTCTACAACAGTGTTCTCGTGAGGGCACAAGAAATATACATGCAAGCTACCCCTCTACCGGTTAATTTCCTTTCACCCTGGGAGGATGAAGATCATCCTGAGAACTTCATTCCAGGCCCAGAGGACCAGTATCAACCTGAAAGCAATCTAGAATCTTGCGAGGAGGATCATCCTGAAAATATTCCACCACCACAGGAGAGAATTCAACACGGTGGCCACGGTAATATTCTTTAAGCACATGAATCTGATGATTATGATGATGACCATGATGATGATTATGAGTTTGATGATTTACATGGACAACTGGTCCAACTTAATAATGGGGAGATTGTCAGGCTTGGGGATGCATTTGCTGTAATCTCTGAAGATTTGGAAGTTTTGGGCCAACGAAGTAATCTGTACCAAGAAATAATCTCAGAGCATCTGCAAACTAGAAAGTACCAAAAACTTGCTAAGCAAGATGAAGATCAAGATGAGGTGGATGAACTATGCGTAATATGCCAAGATGGATTTGAAAGCGAAGACATGTTGGGAACTCTAGGATGCCAACACGAGTTCCATGCGGATTGTATCACCAGATGCTTGCAAGTGAAGAATGTCTGCCCAATCTGCAAGCGCATGGCAGTTCACCATCAAGGAAACTGTTGGGATATGCAACTTTTCCTACATATTTTGCTAGATTATGTTTGATATCAAAATAATTTAATTATTAGAAAAATAAGGATATTTGTTAACCAAAGATCATGTTGGTTTGTTAACAGATATTTTAGATAAGATTTGCTAGTAGAAGGAGATTATATTTTGTTGAGATTTTTAGAATAATTGTTAGTGAGATATTTTGCTAGTTTGTTTCATGTAATCATTATAAATAGCGAGTTGATGAATGTAGAACATAAGCTCATTTTCCACCTTCAATACAAGTCTCTTATAAGCTTTTTTTGCAACACTAAGGTGTTGTTTCTTAGTTTATGCCCCAAAAAACCAACAGAAACTAAAGACGTTTTTGGCACATCATCCCAAACAAAGAAGCTATATTATCCACTTTGTTCTGCCAAGGAAGATGGCTTTTGATCATCTCTTGATCAAAACAAGTCTATCTGTTTCTGATCAAGTCTAGGTCTTGACGGCATGGTTTCATCACTACCTAAGTACATAGTTACTGCAATTGAAATCATTATGATCAAAAGCTTGTCAAGCTCCTGCAAAAACCAACTGTACATAGATGATGAATGTATTTTTCTTCTTCAGTGGTAGGCTAGAGATTTTAGTCTTCAATCTGTAACCAAACCGATATTTTCATGATTTGAATAAAATCTCGTATTTGTAAGATTCTAAATTGGAACAGTTTTCATGATTGTGGTTTTGCTGAAAATTACTATTTTAGCTTGTGATGGCAATCTTAGTTTTAGCATGTTCTTAACCTAGACTTATGGGACCTTTTAGAGTTGCATTGATCCTGTTAACGTAGAAGGAATCTCATGGTGATACATCTACAAGTTCTTGAGACGGGCTACATAACGCCTTACACCTGTTTCACTCATTCATTCTTCTGAATTGGGTTCTCTCTATGTGTGCAATTATACTTCTAACATTTACTGTATGTGTTTCGTAAGTGTAGCTCACGATTGTGTTCCAGATATAGAGAAATTTTACCGTGATTGTTGTATTTGTTGGCTCGCTTGTTTCATCGCATTGTATGAAACTAAATATGCACTCTCACGCCTAAGGGATGCCTGGGCACATGTTTGGAATGTTGTATTAGCAGTTGCTCTGCTATATATGCACAAGTGAAAGAGTGTTGCAGACAATAAAATCAATCTGCCAGCAAATTAGTAGATTTTTCCCAAGAAAGAAGGATTAGTAGGTAATGGCAGCCTTTCAGTTGAAACTAAGAATAGGAAATATTCATGTTGTCCTAAAGATGGATCATCCTCAGTAAGAACCACATAAAACCTGACTTTGCTTACAATCTTTCATCTAACTCTTAATCAATCATTTTTTTCCATGTGGATGAAGAGTAGTTATATACACTTATTTAAAAAAGATGGCAAATAATTGCTCAATTTCCAGAATGCATGATCCAGATAAGCTAAAGTCACACGCATAACTTCCTGCTAGGAGCTTCAGTACATCATTCAGCAGCTACACCACCCTATATGTATATGCTACCAGTTTGAATATCTTTTAAGCATGATAATCAGCTCGGACCCAGTCAGTAGTGTTGCTTATTCCTCAAAGTAACTTCAAACACATTAATTGTTAACTAAATCCTTTTTTTTAACAATGTAACAACTGTGTGAATAGTCTTGGCCCACTTTTCTTCAAACTATATTGTAAATATACTAGAATGAACAAAATGAGATAAAGCTAAGCATGCGTATGAATTCCTCTTAATATAAAACTTCAATGATACACTTTGTTGGTTTCAATTGTATGACATATCTTTATGAGAAGTCCACGTTTTGCATAAATTAATTGATGAGGAAATCACCATCAGAATTCCAGAAACTGTGAAACAGAACACCAATTTCAAGTAGAGAGATGATTTTAGCCCTAAAACGGAAAAACCCAAAACCATGTGGAAACACCTTTATAGCTGGTCATTAATCCTGGACCATCTGCATTTTCATTTTCCGAAAATTCCTCTAAACAAAGATAAGATCCAAAGATATTTGTTTTTCTGAGCAGGATTCCATGTGGAAAAGGATATTAGATACAATGATTTCAGTAATTATCAACGTAGAATTCTGTATCATACCACAAGTGTTTGCAAGAGATGGGGCCAAATGCAGCATTTTTATTGGGTGAACCAGATTGCTAATGTTTCAGAGTTTCATCAGATTTCAATCAAGCCCTCAAATGATAAAGTCCTTACTTTTAAATTGATCTCAATTCACATCTCCAAAAGGGGTGAAACGATACTAACAATAGCATAAAGGGCATAAATTAAACTCGTTACTAACATCAAAAGACTGGGAAAAAATTCTGAGTGTGTAAGTAGTAAAGCCTCATCCTAAGACAAAACCGTTAAAATGAAACTAAACAAGAAGGGCTAAACTAAAAGGATCTAGCAGTTTAAGGGCGAGCATATAATCGAGTGAAATTTTAAAAGCTTCAAGAGTAGTTTACCCCAGTGTTTATTTCTTTGTCTATCATTCCAGGTCTAACCCAGTTAAACTGAAGATTTTGTTACTCCATATTAGTTATAAATGCAGAAATAGTTCAAGTAAATTTTGCAATGTGTGTGCAAACTATTATTAAGAACAGCAGTATGACTCGTTATTGCTTGACAACCTAACTATAAACATTTATTACAGAGTTGCATTAATGCAGAAGTGTCCTTGGTATACATTTGTCATTTTGTTTCAATTGAAATTCAGAACCATGTTAGGTACTCCATTCCATCCCTCAAAGGCTGAAGTATGAATGATCCAGAAAAGAAGAAAAGTATGTAATGTCTATACTTACAAGGTGCAAGAGATTCATATCTACTCTTAATTGACAGAGCACCATGATCAAAATTGAACATCCTCTGCAGGTGATGAGTGGCATGAGTTTGTGAATTTGCTACGGTGCATTGGATGGTAATACTGAGGAACATATCCCTCTCTGTGCAGCTCCCGAAGAAGATGTCTCAATAGCCGATAGATCTCAGATGACTGAGGATGATCTGTGTCTGCAGCAACAAAGATGTGGACGCTCTGATTCACCTCAAGCCAGCTGTAACCAGGAACTTTCTGCACTCCTCTTTCCTTCATCATATTTCTTACTTTGTTAACCCCTTCCCACTTTCCAGCTTCAGCTTGCACATGTGATAGGAGCATATAATATCCAGAATTTTGCGGGTCCAAGTCAAAAAGATGATTTGAAGCCAATTCAGCTAGTTCAACGTTGCCATGGACACGGCGGGCCCGAGTAGCGTGCCCCAAATGCCAGCATCTGCAGTAAATGGCATGCTCCTAATCACTTGATGTGCTTCTTCAAGGCGACCAACTCGGCCAAACAAATCTATTAAGCATGCATAGTGTTTCATTCGAGCTGTAATTCCAAATTCTTGGGTCATGCATTCAAAAAGTTGCTTGCCCTCTTCAACTTGGCCAGTATGGCCACAAGCAGATATTATGGTGAGGAAAGTGACATGGTCAGCTGCAATCCATTTTCCCTCATTTCATTCAGTAGAGCCAAAGCATCCTCAAGGTGTCCATGGTTCCCATAAGCAGCAATTATGCTATTCCAAGAAACTTCGTTCTTGCACTCCATCAAGTCAAAAGCAGTACGTGCTAATTCCAAGTGTCCACATTTAGCATACATGTCTATCAAAGCGCTCTCAGCAAAAAGATCTGAGCTAAATGCTCCTCGAATCATGAATCCATGTATTACTTTGCCATAATGCAGTGCTTGCAAGTCTGCACATGCACAAAGAGCTGCAGATATGCTAACAGAGTCATATTTGGCTCCTTCTAAACCCATCTGATAGAAAAGATCAATTGCTTTGTCCGGCTTTGCATTCTGGCAACAGCTAGTAATCATCGAGTTCCAAGAAACAGTGTCTTTTTTGAAAATTCTGAAGAAAACTAGACGTGCTAGGTCCAACCTTCCACATTTTGCATACATATCTGAAATTGAACTTCCTACATAACACCTGTCTTCAAACCCATTTCTGAGAACACTACCATGCAACTCCCTACCCAATTTCAGAGCAGCCAAACCCGCACAAGGTAAGAGGCTTGCTAGAGTTACTGCATTGGGCCTCATTTTCTTATCCAGCACCCATCTAAACATTTCTAAGGCTTTACAATCCATTCCATTGAGCACAAACCCCGAAATCATAGCAGTGCAAATGACGATATCTATAGCAGGGCAAGAGTTGAAGGTTTTAGATGCCATCTCCACAGCCCTGCACTTAAAGTAAATATCAATAAGTGCATTCTTCAAGTAGGGGTGTGCATTCGGTGCAAAAGCGGTAATTCGGTGCAATGAATTCGGTGAATTCGGTTATTCGGCCTATAGAAATCTAAACCATTTTCAATTTCGAATTGGCCAGTGACAGGTGCCGAACCTATGCAATAATAATAAATAAAACCTAACTACCACTTTAAACAGTCAATAATCAATTCAAGTACTGGAGCAGGGACTCTATGTGTGCAATGGGTTACTTGATTCACCCTGTTCCCGAAGAGTTTGCTTAATCCGATATACCTAAATTAATTATTTAACTGAATACACTAACTAGTAGACAGTGGTAAGCAGGTCGTCTCCTCAGGACTGGAGAGAAATTTATTCCTTTTCGAATCAAGACAGATGGGGGTTTTCACGATTAAATGCTAAAAATAAAGTAACTGCAGAAAATAATTAATTTAAAGAAATAATTGGAGATACTCTAGCCAAGGGTACACTTCAGAAATGGTTCATGCACTGATCATTGATGCAGAAATAATTCCAACATTTATTAATAGATTGGTTATAGTTGTCATGCACGCGATAAACAACCAACCCTTCCTTAATTTATCGATAGCTAAGGTACGACCGTTAGCTATTTCTCTAACCCAAAAACAACCCTAGGTACGACCATAGGATTTAATTTTTAGATTGCATTATTAATTAGAAAGGCCCAATCCTAGCTAACAAATACGCTACGAGGGTTTATTTAAGCTAGATCATATGTTCCCCTAACATAAACCCAATAACGCCAGTTGCTACAAAGACAGAGATAACGAACAATTACGGATTCAATTATCTCTATTTAGCAAAATAGCCTATATGAATAATTAATTATTATGCACTAACCAATCATACACAAGGCTATAGCGATTAAAAGCAAGGGACATGTAAATATCAATAAATGAAGAAAACAATTAACAATGGTTTAGATCTCACAGTATCAGTTGAACTAATTCATCAGTTGCTCCCTTGACTAGAAATAGGGATTTAGTTCCCCATAATTGATGTACAGGCCATACGGATAAAGTTGGAGGAAACCATCGATTCCTTAATCAAAGCGAACGGAAGAAATTGCCCCTTGCTGATTCCGGTCAACCGAGGAAAAGGAAGGAAACAATTGATTATGGCGGTTTTCAATTGTTCTCCTAAGCTAACCGTACAGAGAGTACACACTTTCAATTTCTTCGGTCAAGACCAGAGTGAAAAACAATGGCAAAAGTCCACAATTGCGGCTCTTTTAAGCTTTCTTTCTTTTCCCACACAAGAAACATACGAGAGATTGGATTCAAATTGTTTGATTTCTCAATTTGGTCAAGACTAATGAAAAGCTCACAAGCATCCCAAAGTCAACAAAAGTGGCTATTGTCTGCTGCCTCTTCCTCTACAAAGCTGCGGCCCCCAATCCCTCTATCCAGCCGAGGAGAAAAGAACGAGCGGGCAAAAACCTAAACTAAGCGAAGCGCTCACTCCTCCCTCTGTTGTTCGAAGTTCAAGGGAGAGATTTTTCCTTATCGGAAATTGTTATTATCTTTCTTATTTTTTTTTTAAAATTAAAACAAGACTCTCCAAAAATATAAAATAGACTCAAGCCTATTACAATTTAGTTTCTTCAGCTTCTCACGCGGGCCCCACGTATGATGAATCTTCTAAAATTTGCATTTAAGCACTTTTCAGCATCCAGTCCTGCAATTGGCACCAAAACAAAATATCGGTAAAATCCACTCAATTGCTGGAAATATTTAGTCGAATAAAAGTGCATTAATGCCCAAAATACCCCACTAAAATGCACCCTATCAATCTCCCCCACACCTAAACTATGCTTGCCCTCAAGCATAATCAACTCAGAAGTGCAATAAAGATACTAAACAAATCACAGCAGTTCATACCAAGAATGGCATTCCAAATTCCCCAATAATCTCATCGAAATCAGAATATACCAAATCAACAATTCTCGCAGTTTAAAGTGCACTCATTCACTCTAAAGTGTATATGAAATGTATATAAGATGGCTCTCAAATCAACACAATAGAATGACACTACCATAAGCTTGCTCATATATCATATCTCCACCACTTATGAATTTAAATGCAGCAATCAAGGGACTCTGCAAGGTTGTAATGGGGCTAGGGTGAGAAGGTAGGATAAAAAGGAAAAAAAAGGTGTAAAAGTATAAAGAAAGTGCTCAGAAACTCACTACACAGATTCTTGCACATTGGGAACTTCAAGGCACCTCAACCATCCCTCAAGCGAAGTAAAATTTGGCACTTGCCATAACCTTCGACTTTTCTTTCTCCTCTTTTCATTCATCTACTTCCCCTCTCATTTTTTTTCTTTTGCTTGTTTTTTCTTTTTTCAATAACTCCCAACCAGCACCATAAAAATCAACTTTACTTGCTGATTTCCTGCACCTTGTATTCTTTTCACATCTCTTTTTTTTTTTTCTCTTTTTGGTTTTCTCTTTTTTTTCATAGATATGTGTAATGCCTCTCAAATAATACTCCAAAATTCTGTATAATGAAATCAAAGCACTTCTTCACACGAGATTCAAAAAGAAAGTCTAAAAAGAGGTTTTACGGCTAAAAACTAGGGTCTCAAGCGAAGAATAAGGGTTAAGGCTCAACTTGGCTCCCTAGTAGTAAATAATCCAAGGGTTGGTTTTAAGAAAGTCCAAAAATGGCTCATTCCTAGGTGCCCTATCATTTCAACGCATTAAACTCATTTAAATGTGGTCTTGACATGCATAACTGAGCAAGTTCTAGAATGACAAATCATGTGCAATAACCACTCAAACAAACGAAAAATTAGGCCCAAAAATTGCACAAATGATCAAATTTATCTCAAGTTCAGCATATTCATCAATCAATTCATCATCGAGGAAAATAGAGCACGCCATGGCATGAACTTGCTACTTATACCCATATCTCAATTGCATTCATCACCGTTTAAAGAAAGAAACTACTAAGGCAAGGAAAAATTTAATCAGACAACTAAAAACACAGCTAAAGCATAGTTAACCCTCCCCCACACCTAAACCTTACATTGCCCTCAATGTAAGCAAAGAAAGATCAAAACAGAGGTATTGGGGCAACGACACTTCCCTTAAAACGGAGGAGGGCAGAAATGAACGGCTGTGGAGGGAAAGGCGGGCGGAAACCCACGTGATGGAGATACTGCGCTAAATTCTGGGCCATCCCGCCCATTTGACGCTCCATCCGCTCCATACGAGTGTCCATATGCTGCATTTGGAACCGAAAGGCTGCAAGTTGGCTATCGGCGGAGGAAGACTGTGGAGGCACCGAAGAAAACGGTCCGGGGGCATCCGTAGAAGGACCACCCTCCGGATCAGTGGATCTGGAAGCTCTGCGCTTAGGAGTAATAAAGATCGGCCCTGGGGGAGCAAACTGGAAAGCGCCATTCACCTGTTCCACAAGACCCATTTTCTCCAAACAAACTAAATCGAGGGGTTCCATAGTACAGGCACGATGCAAATTATGATTATTTAAATCCAAAACCCCAAGATTTACAGCCAATTGAGTGATAAATGAGCCTAAAATTAATGGCTTATTTTTCTTACTTAGTACCGTGCGGAGGTGGATGGCAAACCAGCTACCCAAATTGACCTTAGTCTGAGTTACCATGCACCAAATGAAAAAGAACTCGGGTTTGGTCAAAGTACCCGAACTATCCTTCCTACCTGAGAAACTGTAAGCCATAAATCTATGTAAATAACGGTAGACGGCGCTCTTAAGATAAGATGCCTTAGACTGACTGGGGTCATAGTTGTGTCGGTCAACCGACAAATCTCTCCAATAACCAATGTTATGAGAGAAAAATGGCTCCGTGTACTCACACACACTATGCATATATTCATCACTCTGGGAGTAGGGAATATCAATGAACCCAAGAGCCAAATTAAATTCAGTTATAGATTGGGTGAACTCTCTACCCATTAATCTAAACCTCACTACCCCAGGAGTGGTAACGGAGAATTCATCGGGGATATTAAACTCAAAAGTAGCATAATATTCCCACGTCAGTTCAGTGAAAGCAGGTAAAACAATAAAAGCATAGCGGATCCAACCTATGTCGGTCAAGTGCGGCGTGACCTCATCCCTAAGGTTTAACATATCAAGTGTAGGGCCATGGATGTATTTACAAGGAATTATCTTCCTTGTGCAAGCCGAGGCATACTGCTCCTTGTCGGCAGCCCGGATAAAGGTCAAATTGCCTCCAAAGTGGGCCGGAGAGGAGATATGAACCTCCCTATTCCTCCAAAGCGGGTACGGGGCCCTCCAGACCCAGTCAATGGGGCAGGTCCCCCTAAGGGGACCGTAGGCAGAGGGGTGGAAGTGGAAGGCTTGTTCGTGCCTTTAGTTTTGGGTTTGGTCATTGGATATCAGTGAACAAGACAAAGGCAAAGTAATGGCGTTCAAAATATGTCAACAAACAACCACCAAAGCAAATGATCCCCGGTCACAGCACCCAATCATAGACAAGTGCACAAACAAACAATAAAATTACCCCAAAAGCCAATTAATCCTGTGAACCGCAAAGTTTTCCCCAAACATTACCAAATAAACCCAAAAATCACTTAATTAGACAAACGGAGCAAAATTCCCCCAAAAACTAATTAAACAAGCAACCAGAGTAAAAACTTTCCCCAAATATCTCTGATTGAGCACAAAATTTCACAAATAGACCACAATCAACCACAGATATATCACCGCACCAAAATCAAGCAAGAAATTGACAATCTGGCCTCAACTAAGAAAGTTAAATTCTGGCATCAGCTAATAAAAGTTAGTAATCTGGTCTCAACTACTTAGTGACAGAAAAATAAAGAAAGAAATCACCGGTGGGGATATGGCAACAACAGCGAGTAAGGTGGAAAAGGCAGAGGCTGCAGAGAGGTGGAGGAAAGCACCGCGCACGCGCTAAGGCAGGCGCGATAGAGTCGCGCCTAGTCTACTCGCCTATGCGCGAGCTGCTACCCTGGTGACCCGCGCTTTGCTGCTGGAGGCGCTGTTCTGGTCGCGCGCAAGGGGTAAGCTGCTCGCGCGGTCTGCAGTCCGCGACTGCAGCTGCTGCTCGCTGCTCTGGTCGCGCGCGTGGAGTGCGCGCTGGTGCTGCTTGAGAGCTGGCCTGGGCTGGGGTTCACGCTGGAGCTCTTGCGCCCTAAGGCTGCGAACGGCGCTGCTTGCGCGTGCTGGTGGCTCGCTGAGGATGGCGCTCGGGCCTGTGCCGCTGCTGCGAATCTCGCTCTGGGCTCTGCTGGAGGCGTGCGGCTGGGCGAAGACGACGTGCGGACTGAAGGGAAGCGGCGGACCGTGGCGAGCTCCTGCGGTGGGCAGCTATGGCGCGACGGCGGCCAAGGCAGAACAAGGAAGAAGAAGAAAGAAAAGGAAGAAGAAGAAGAAGGAAGAAAAAGAAAAGAAAGAAGAAGAAAGAAAGAGTAGGGCCGCGGGTCCTTTGAAATATTTTTTTTTCTTTTTGAATAAGGGTAATTTCATCTTTTTGCCCTTTTTTTTTTGGGGTAAACGAAGAACTCCTGTCTTAGGCGTGGGTACGCCTAACTACCTCTAGTCTTTTGGCCATTCGACGAAAATTCTTGATCCTTTAGCGTGATCACCTAGCGTGGGCACGCTTAACTGCTACAGAGTTTTCTGACTGTCGGACGAAAATTTTCTTTCCCTCATGCGTGATCATCTGGCGTGGGCACGCTTAACTACTATAGAGTCTTCTGACCATCGCCTTCCAACCCTTTTCCTCAGACGTGACCACTTAACGTGGGCACGTCTAACTACCAATTTCCTGCCACCAAAAATCAAACTATTAATTGACACTAACACTTAACTAAAACTTAAAAAATGTTTGAAAACTGAAACAAATAGTCTTGGGTTGCCTCCCAAATAGTGCCTTTCTTTAATGTCTTTGGCTAGACATGGCTGAGACCCTCGAGCAAGATAAAGTGGATCTTGGAGGTGTACAACTTCTACTTCTTCAACAGAGAACCCCTCATAATAAGGCTGCAGGCGATGGCCATTCACCACGAACTTTTTCTCCATTTTTAAACTTTGGATCTCCACTGCACCATAATGAAACACATTAGAAACGACAAATGGATCAATCCAACGAGAACGTAACTTACCAGGAAAGAGTTTAAGCCTCGAGTGATACAAGAGGACTTTTTACCCCACTACAAAAGATTTTCTTGAAACCTGCTGATCATGAAAGATTTTACTCTTTTCCTAATAGATCGTGGCATTCTCATACGCTTCATTTCTTATCTCCTCCAGCTCTTGTAACTGCAATTTTCTTTGGACCCCTGCTTCGTCTAATCCCATGTTACACTGTTTCACTGCCCAAAACGCCTTGTGTTCGAACTCCACGGGAAGATGGCAAGCCTTACCAAAGACAAGTCTATACGGAGACATCCCAATTGGCGTCTTATACGCGGTGCAGTACGCCCACAGTGCATCTTCTAACTTTAAACTCCAATCCTTCCTATCTGGGCGCACCATCTTCTCCAAGATTGATTTGATTTCCCTGTTTGACACTTCGGCTTGACCGTTTGCCTGCGGGTGATACGGTGTGGATATTTTATGGAGCACACCGTATTTTCGAAACAGGGCAGTGATAGTCTTGTTACAGAAATATGTCCCTCTATCACTTACCACAGCTCTTGGTATTCCAAAACGGACAAAAATATTAGATTTTAAGAACTCTGCAACCACTTTAGAATCATTAGTACGGGTGGCTTTGACCTCCACCCATTTAGAAACATAATCAACCGCAAGCAAAATATATAGGAAACCAAAAGATGAGGGGAAAGAACTCATAAAATCTATCCCTCAAACATCAAAAATTTCAACAAACAATATGGGGGTTTGAAGCATTTGGTCCCTACGAAAAATATTCCCCACCCTTTGACACCTATCACAGGATTTGTAAAATAAATACGAATCTTTAAAAAGGGTAGGCCAGTAAAAGCCACTCTCTAACACTTTGCGAGCTGTTCGCTTGGGCCCAAAATGCCCTCCACATGCAAATGAATGACAAAAATTTAAAATAGAGTGAAATTCACCTGCACTCAGACACCTTCTTAGAACTTGATCCGAACATTGTCTCCAAAGGTACGGGTCGTCCCAAATGTAATATTTGGCATCACTTTTCAACTTGTCTCTCTTAGCCTTTGGCCACCCTGCAGGCAATTGATTAGTCACTAAGAAATTTACTATATCAGAGTGTAGACGAGTTAATGGCAAGTAGTTGCTCCTCTGGAAATGCCTCCCTCAATGGTTGCTCCTCCTTATGAGCAAGCAAGCGGCTCAAGTGATCAGCAACTAAATTTTCTGCTCCACTTTTATCTTCAATCTCCAAGTTAAACTCCTGAAGGAGCAGGATCCATCTGATGAGTCTTGGTTTAGCATCCTTCTTCGTCATCAAGTACCTTAAGGCCGCATGATCAGAGAAAACTGTTACTTTCGCACCTAACAAATAAGGTCTAAATTTTTCTAATGCAAAAATCACAGCAAGTAATTCTTTCTCTGTTGTAGAATAGTTGAGTTGAGCTCCATTCAACGCCTATGATGCATAGTAGATTGCATGAGTCGCCCTGCTAATCCGTTGCCCCAGCACTGCTCCCACTACATAGTTACTCGCGTCACAAATTATCTCAAATGGGAACCTCCAGTCTGGAAGTTGGATAACAGGTGGTGATGTCAATGACTCCCTTAACCATTCAAATGCCACCTTGCACTCCTCGGAGAAGTCAAATGCTACATCTTTCTGCAACAGTTTGAACTGGGGTGCTCCAATTTTAGAGAAGTCTTTGATGAATCTCCTGTAAAACCCTGCATGACCCAAAAAGGAACGCACCTCCCGTACACTTACGGGGTAAGGTAAAACAGAAATAACATCAACCTTTGTTTTATCCACTTCTATACCCCTGGCCGAAACTACATGCCCTAAAACAATGCCATGATCCACCATGAAATGACATTTTTCCTAATTTAGAACTAAATTTGTCTCAATGCATCTCTTCAAAATTAAAGCTAAATTATCCAGGCATTCATCAAAACTATCTCCATATACATTAAAATCATCCATAAACACCTCAATAATTTTTTCTACGTACTCGGAGAATATACTTACCATACACCTCTGAAAAGTTGTTGGGCATTGTAGAGGTCGAAAGGCATCTTTCGATAGGCAAAAGTACCAAAGGCGCAGGTGAATGTAGTTTTCTCCTGGTCCTCTGGTGCTATCGCGATCTAGAAATAACCGAGAAATCATCAAGAAAGCAGTAATAAACACGACCAGATAACCTTTCTAGCATCTGATCGATAAACGAGAGGGAAAAGTGGTCCTTCTTTGTCACAGCATTTTGACGCCGGTAATCAATGCACTGACGCCATCCTGTGGGTTTCCTCACCGGGACTATCTCGCCCTCTTGGTTCTCTTCTACTGTCACGCCAGCCTTTTTCGAGACTACTTGCACTAGATTCACCCATGGACTGTTTGAGATGACGAAAATGATCCCCACTTCCAAGAGTTTAAGTATTTCCTTCTTTACCACTTCCATTATTAGTGGGTTCAATCTCCGTTGTGCCTGCCTTACTGGTTTTGCATTCTCCTCAAGCCGGATCCGATGCATGCATAAAGAAGGGCTAATTCTCTTAATGTCTGCTATGTTCCACCCAATCGCCTCCTTATGATCTCGAAGAAGACGAATCAGGTTGTCTTCTTGCCTTGGTGACAGGTGTGCAGATATAATGACTGCCAGTGTCTCTTTGTCCCCGAGAAAAGCATACTTCAAAATGCTTTGGGAGAGGCTTGAGTTCCAACTCAGGTGCCTGCACAATAGAAGGCAACAATTTCGTTTGAGTTTTGGGAACAAAGAGAGACGTGAGCTCATACCTTGAGGGAATTTGTGGGAGCGAATGCAGTGCTCCAACTGCACAATATAAAACATCACTTAATTCCACATCAGGAGTTGCTCCCAACTCAAGATGTTTGGCCAATGCCACTTTCAGTGCATCGCCCCTATTCAATTCAAATGTGTCATGTACAAGAGGTTCAATAATGCTCAAAGCAAAAACAGAGTTAGCCTCATCCGAGTATTTCATCGCATCAAAGATATTGAAATTTACAATTTCACCATCAAACTCCATCGATAAAATACCCTCATTCACATCTATTTTTGTCCTAGCCGTGCTTAAAAATGGTCTACCTAACAAAATAAGTGACGGATTTAATGCTTTTTCATCTCCCATATCTATGACACAGAAATATGCAGGAAAAACTAACTCATTGACCTGTACCAAAACATCTTCAACTAACCCCTCTGGATAAGCATTGGTACGGTCTGCAAGTTAGATTATAATGCATGTGCCTTTTAATGGGCCAAGATTAAGAGAAGCATAGATTGTCTTAGGCATAACATTAATTGACGCCCCCAAATCCAACATTGCTTTCCTAATTGGGGTACCTCCTATCTTTGCAGGGAATAGTGAACATATCTGGGTCTCCACATTTTGGTGGGAGTTTCCTTTGGAGTATAGCTGACACGTTTTCTCCCACCGTTACTCTTTCGTCCCCCCTTAGCTTCCTTTTGTGGGTGCACAAATCTTTTAAAAACTTGGCATACTTCGGTATCTGTTTGATTGCATCCAACAGGGGAATTCTCCACTTTTCGAAACACATCCAAGAGCTATTTTTCCTTCTCTACCTTCTTTGTCTTTTCCAACCTGCAAAAAAGGGGGTAAGTTAGAGTTAGTAGTGAGTGGAGAGGTGGAGGTTACTTTAGGATCCTCACGAACACATCCTTCCTCCTCAATTTCCTTTTCTATCTCCTCCTCACTTTTGCTTTTTGAATTTCCCGCTTTAGGCCCTTCCAGTGTCTTGCCACTCCTCAGTGTCACGACACTTACATTCCTGGAATTTATTTCGGGTTGTGAGGGTAACTTTCCATAAGCGTGGGACTCCAGGCAATTGATAGCAGTTGCCATTTGGCTTATTCGAGCCTCCATATCTTTCATGCCTGCTTTTGTGTCCTGCTGGAACTGAGTGGTGCTCATGGTTAAGGCACTAGTTTCTTGCTGGAGTTGAGCCATATTCGTGGTCAATGACCTAGTCTCCTGCTGAAGCTGTCTAGTCTCTTGCTGGATTTGGGCGGTAGTCGTAGCCAAACTCTAGACAATATCCTCCAAGAACTCCCTGTGTTGGAGGATGATGGGTTGCGTTTCGGTTGCCATGGTTGCTGAAACCCTGACGGACGATTTGAGAGTGAATTTTGTGGGCGGTTCCATAACTGAAGTTGGGATGGTCTCTCCAACCGGGGTTGTATGTGTTGGAATACGGGTCATACTGCCTGCGGGGTGCGAGCACGCCTCCGGCCATGTTTACCTGGTCCGCCCCGTCCTCTTGTAACAGGGGGCACGTGTCCTTGCAGTGGTCCATGCTAGTGCAGATTCCACACACCTTTGCTCGTGGTGTGTTCCCCATGGCTAATTGCTTAACAGCGGACGTCAACTCTAATAGTTGCTGCTGAATGGATGGCGTCTCTGTCTCGTTAACTCTACGAGTGGGGTTACTCTCACGGTAGCCAAACTGCTGAGAGTTCTCTGCCATGGCTTCAATGAGCTCCCATGCCTCCCTCGGTGTTTTGTTTGCCAAGGCTCCTCCGCTCACAGCGTCAATAATACTCCTGTCAGTTGACTGGAGCCCTTCATAGAAGTACTGGATCAACAGTTGTTCACTAATTTGATGCTGTGGGCATCTAGTGCACAACTTGTTGAACCTTTCCCAATAGTCGTACAAGGACTACTCGGAGTACTGCTTGATGCTGCATATCTCCTTCCTCAAACTCGTAGCCCGGGATGCGGGAAAAAATTTTTCTACGAATTTTTTTTTCAATTGTGCCCACGTGATGATACTACCTGCAGGTAGGTAGTATAGCCAATCCTTCGCTGCATCCTTGAGAGAGAAGGGGAAGGCTCTCAGTCTAATTTGCTCTTCAGCCTCAGGACGTTTCATACTAGAGCAAACCACCTCGAACTCCTTGACGTGTTTGTAGGGTTCTTCGCCAGAGAGACCATGGAAAGAAGGTAAGAGGTGAATCAACCCCGACTTTAACTCGAAAGCTGTATTTTCTGTCAAAGTGGGGAATGTGATGCACAAGGCCTAGTGAGTCAATTCCGGGGCAGCCAGCTCCCTTAATGTCTGGGTGTTGGTCATGCTAAATTCGCCTTCTACTGACTCGTTTGCAAAAGATAAGTGCCCTTCTTTTCGTCTCTTGGTCTCTTGTCTTCGCCTACGCGCTGCCTTCTCAACCTCAGGATCGTATAACAATTTACCTGTGCAAGAAGAACGGGCATAAACTAGCAAAAATACCAAGAAAAATAGAATAAAATAAAACAAAGTCAAAAACTGAATTAAAAAAGAAACAAATAATTCAGATGCCAATCCGCGGCAACGGCGCCAAAAATTGACAGGTGCCGAACCTGTTCAATAATAATAAATAAAACCTAACTACCACTTTAAACAGTCAATAATCAATTCAAGTACTGGAGCAGGGACTCTAGGTGTGCAATGGGTTACTTGATTCACCCTGTTCCCGAAGAGTTTACTTAATCCGATATACCTGAATTAATTATTTAACTGAATACACTAATTAGTAGACAGTGGTAAGCAGGGTCGTCTCCTCAGAGACTGGAGAGAAATTTATTCCTTTTCGAATCAAGACAGATGGGGTTTTCACGATTAAATGCTAAAAATAAAGTAATTGCAGAAAATAATTAATTTAAAGAAATAATTGGAGATACTCTAGCCAAGGGTACACTTCAGAAATGGTTCATGCACTGATCATTAATGCAGAAATAATTCCAACATTTATTAATAGATTGGTTATAGTTGTCATGCACGCGATAAACAACCAACCCTTCCTTAATTTATCGATAGCTGAGGTACGACCGTTAGCTATTTCTCTAACCAAAACAACCCTAGGTACGACCGTAGGATTTAATTTTTAGATTGCATTATTAATTAGAAAGGTCCAATCCTAACTAAGAAACACGCTACGAGGGTTTATTTAAACTAGATCATATGTTTTCCTGACATAAACCCAATTACGCCAGTTGCTACAAAGACAGAGATAACGAACAATTACGGATTCAATTACCTCTATTTAACAAAATAGCCTATATGAATAATTAATTATTGCGCACTAACCAATCATACACAAGGCTATAGCGATTAAAAGCAAGGGACATGTAAATATCAATAAATGAAGAAAACAATTAACAATGGTTTAGATTTCACAGTATCAGTTGAACCAATTCATCAATTGCTCCCTTGACTAGAAATAGGGGTTTAGTTCCCCCATAATTGATGTACAGGCCATGCGGATAAAGTTGGAAGAAACCATCGATTCCTTAATCAAAGCGAATGGAAGAAATTGCCCCTTGCTGATTCCGGTCAACGAGGAAAAGGAAGGAAACAATTGATTATGGCGGTTTTCAATTGTTCTCCTAAGCTAACCGTACAGAGAGTACACACTTTCAATTTCTTCGGTCAAGACCAGAGTGAAAAACAATGGCAAAAGTCCACAATTGCGGCTCTTTTAAGCTTTCTTTCTTTTCCCACACAAAACATACGAGAGATTGGATTCAAATTGTTTGATTTCTCAATTTGGTCAAGACTAATGAAAAGCTCACAAGCATCCCAAAGTCAACAAAGTGGCTATTGTCTGCTGCCTCTTCCTCTACAAGCCGGCCCCCAATCCCTCTATCCAGCCGAGGAGAAAAGACGAGCGGGCAAAAACCTAAACTAAGCGAAGCGCTCACTCCTCTCTCTGTTGTCCGAAGTTCAAGGAGAGATTTTCCCTTATCGGAAATTGTTATTATCTTTCTTCTTTTTTTTTTTTAAATTAAAACAAGACTCTCCAAAAATATAAAATAGACTCAAGCCTATTACAATTTAGTTTCTTCAACTTCTCACGCGGCCCCACGTACGATGAATCTTCTAAAATTTGCATTTAAGCACTTTTCAGCATTCAGTCCTGCAATTGGCACCAAAAGAAATATCGATAAAATCCACTCAATTACTGGAAATATTTAGTCGAATAAAAGTGCAGTAATGCCCAAAATACCCACTAAAATGCACCCTATCATCCTAACCGAATTCATTCCGTAACCGATTTCAAATTCAAAAACGTAATGACTAACCGAATTCGTCTATTAAAAAAAACTGATTTTTTAAAATTATTACTGATTTGATGCCCAAATTTATTCATATTTAACACATTACTTATGTTCTAATCCCCAATTATTACTGTTTAATTTGATTGCATTTATTGATCACTTATACCCAATGTTTTGAAAACCGGACCAGATCGAGCCGGTTCGATCGGTTGAACCGCGAATCGGCCATGCACCAGCCCGGTTCTATTGATTGTATGCAGAAATCGGTCAAAACCCTGTTGAATCGTGAAAACCGCCGAACCGGATTGAACTGACGGTTTTCCGGTTTTCAACTCCCCCTTTTTTTTTTATGTTTTGCAAAATATAGCTATCAAATTCGAACTCAAAACCTTTGTAATAGAAGACCAATGTATCAACCGTTGCACCATCACATCTTATTAATTTTTTTGATAGCTTATTTTATAAAACAAACACTCATATTTTTTTTTCCATTTTTCTTATAAATCTCATTCTCTCATGGATCTTTTTTATCTTCACTCTCTCTCTCTCTCTATCCTCTTTTCTTTATCACTCCCTTTTTAATCAAACTCTTTATTTTTAATTTATTGATGTTTTCTTCCATCTTTTAATTTTGTTTTTGTCCATTAAATTGAAAAAAGTTAAAAAAGAATTTTTTTCTTTACCCAAATTATTTAATCCACGACCAGTCACTTTTTCATTTTTTTGTTTCTTATCAAGTTTACATTTCTATTTCGATTCTCTTGACTTTCTTCGAACTCCAAACTTCCTTTTTTAAATTGCAATTTTTAAATCCCAAAACGTAAATTAAAATTTAAGTTCACAATGTCTAAATTCTCATAGACGTGAATTTTGTATAATTTCAAAATATTGTGATATTTTTGGGTTGGATTTAGATATAATTGAAATTGAGATGAAATTTATTGTTTTAACTTATAATTTAAAAAATTTATTATTAAAAAATAGTAAACTTTTCCTCATATAAAGTATTAAATTAGTCCATTACATGTCTTATTTTGTGCGTATATATATTTATATAAATTTTTTTTAAAAATTCATTGAACCGGGGTTGAACCGGTCGACCGGTTGAATCTCGACCCTTTCACTTCACCGGTTCAATTAACGGTCCGATTTTTAAAACATTGCTTATACCTAGAATCCTTAGTCTATGATTTAAGGAACACATAAAAAGTGATTAATTGAAACTAGAATAAACCTTAGACTGTACAATGATTAGTGATAATTTATGAATTTATAATTTACAATGATTAATAATAAGTAATATTAGTTACAAACTTACAAATTACAATGATTAGTGATAAGTTATATTAGTTACAAACTTATAATTTATTTCAAATCAAAATAAAACTTGTTTACTTGCATATGTTATTGTGAAAGTCAATACACTAATACATTGATTTGCAATTCACATGCATTCATTTATACTGCTTAGTCGTCTTTTCTATACTTAAAGCCTTAAGATTAGTGAATAGATAATATGAATTTTTATGTTAAATATGTAATATAAATTTAGAGCACACTAATACTTGCAAGTTACAGATTACGCATTCAAATATTCAATAATTCAAACATGAATGATCAATGATGTATCAAATTACCAATATCTAAATTCTAACTACTAATTATGTTTATTGTTTAATATTTAGTATTATACATATATGTATTAATTATTATCTAATTCTAGTCATGTTACTCATGTATAAAATAATAAGTAGTTATCTTATATTGTTATGCATTACTATATATTTGTATTATTATAATCATATAACAATTAACAAATACTAAAATAATATATTGTACATTATATATATATTATTATTATTATAAGTACATGATATGATGATAATACCATATACAAATTATTATTAATTGCA